TGTGTGTGTGTGTGTGTGTGTGTGTGTGTGTGTGTGTGTGTGTGTGTGTGTGTGTGTGTATAGATATAGAGATATAGATATAGATATAGATATATAGATATAGATAGTGTATGGAATGGTGCAATTTTTGGAAGACCAGTAAGGGCACATGGAAATTATACTGTAAGAGATGGCGTCCGGGCAGTGTGTTGCATGTCCCACTGAGATCCCAGTGCTGGGCTGAAGTGAAAAATCTAGCAGAAAGTTCTCTCCCTAACTGTTCCCACTGCTGGAGAGGGAGCTTGGCCCAGCTGGGAACTGCAAGTCTGAATATACTCCCAAGGGAGGGACCCAATGCAGACACTTGAATTTCAGGCTGGCCCTGGCTGTCTCCGGCCAGCTGTACCCTACATGTGTTAAGGGCTCAATCCTACAAACATTTATTTATGGGAGCAGACCTGACACCCATAAATTGTCACATTTATATCAATGGAACTAAGGAAAGATTATTTATGTGAGTAAAGATTTGCAGGAGAGGGCCTTATGTACATACTAAGGGCTACTGATACGAGTATGGTACTACTCAGTATGAACAGGAGTAGCCAGACTGGGCCCTGTGACTTTAATCTATGTTGTGTTTAAAATAGTCAAATAAAAATCTTTTAACAAATGCATTTTGCGTTGTTTTTCTCATCTTCATTTTCCTGCCCACATGAAAGTTTAGGATAAGATTTTCAAAACGGACACACCTACAGTTAGGCCTTTGGCTGCTCTCACCATGCTGGCATAGTCGAAGCAGGAACTCTCCCCTAGTGTAGACACACTTATAAAAGTGCATCTACTGGCGCAGCCAATACTGGTTCAGTAACTGCACTAGGACTTTTACCAGTATAACTATGTTGGTTAAAAACACATATCCCTTACTGACGTGATTATAGGTTTCAGAGTAGCAGCCGTGTTAGTCTGTAAACTTAAGTGTAGACCAGGTCTTAGGCTCCTAAGTCTATATTTAGGCACCTACATTTTCCAAGGTTCTGAGCACCCATCCACTCCCATTGACTTAGACCGTATCTATACAATGAGCTCTTTACTGGTATAGGAATACAGCTGTACTATACTGGCAAAGTGCGCCTAGTGTGGATGCAGCTATATCGGCAAAGCTATGCGCTGTATGGTTAAAGTAAAAACACCCCCGCAACAAACACAACAGGGCAATACCACTAAAAGTGCAGCTTTGTTTGTACAGCTGCATCTACAATAGGGATTTCTGCCAGCACAGGGATCACACACCTCTTCCCATCCCTGACCAGCATGGCTATGCTGGCATATGTCTGGAGTGCAGACAGAGCCTTCAATAAGAACAGGATTAGGCTCTTATTGTGCATGGCATATTTCAGACAAAGCACTGCAGAAAACACTCATATTCTCTGCATCTCTCTGAACCACTACCAGCATACTGGTGCACATCAGGGAGTCTCCTCTCTGAACTTTCTGATAGTTGAACAGTCCCAAAAATAAATCTTGACAATCTTGAATGAAACAGTCTCTCCCTCTGTCCTTCTTTAATATTGACGTGGAAACATTCATTAAATCTGAAGTCTCTTCTATGGGCCACATCCCCCACATGGCAAATCCATGGCAGGCAGGATGTTGCAAGGACCAGGAAGAATTGTACTACTTGTGCTTAGTGGAGAGCAGCGACTACTCCCTCCCTATACCACCAGGGGTGCACAATGTCCCAACGGGGAGAGATTCCTGCGTGCCCACATACCAGCAAACACAGTACATCAGTGGCATATAGGGTAGTAAGCGGCACCAAGGCCCAAAGGAACCTGGGGAGATATCCTGACTGCGAGTTGTCCCTACAAGGCATAGCAGAAGCCCTCTGAGCCCTGAGTGTTTGTGATGTCATTAAGATTGACTTCTACAATTTCTGCTACTTGGTCTTAGCTGCGTTCTGCAAGTGCGTTCTGCAAGTACATTCCACTAAAATCCTTACAAAGCTATTTCTTATTTATTCCAAACTTTAGGTCAGTTCTCCCGAAGGTCCAACTCTACCCCTCCTGTGACTCCACTCACTCCAGCAATGAATCTGGCCCATTTGTTTAAAGAAATTTTTGCAACCTTCTAATTTAAAAATAACATCTTGGCAATAAACCTTTCCCTAAATTCTTAAGAGTTCTGTCCTCTGCTGGTGAATATCGGGGTAGCTCCACTGACTTCAGTGCTCCAGCATACACCAGCTGAAGATCTGACCCAATCATTCTCTGTCACCTATATTATGGCAGAATGTAACTGCAAGCCTACTTAGTGGTGTTCATTGTATGGAACAGACTGCACGCCTGCATGAGGGTTGGGGAGATGGGACAGACAGCCTTCTCCTCTTGTCCACCTGCCCACGGTGTAACTGGGGAGCACAGGCACTACTTGCCACAGTGTCAGCCTCCATAAAATTGGTGGAATGAGGAGAAGGACACAGCCCTGACTCTTCACTCTGGTCAGCAGAGTTGGCCCAGTATGAACAGGAGGGGGGTGCTCCTGCTCCACTGTGCATTCCCTAATGCCCCAGGAGGAATTCTGGCTGAATCCGCATGTCACATAAAAAATTAGCATTACAGTTTGGCTGTGGGTGACGTATGCAACAAAATGCAACCTAAGCGCAATTTCTTTTGCACGTCAGTATGCAGACATGCATACAGTCAGTCAGAGACAAGGCCGAATAGGAGGCAGAAAACAACAATGGCCTATCAGCCAAGATACTCATCTAGATCAGGACTCTTATTTGGATTCACAACTCCAATTTACAGTTTTATTCAGTTGTCATCCTAGGTCAAGACGAGATCCTAATAAAAGGAACTATAAACCATTTAGAAAGTAGCACCAGACACAAAGGGTCAAATTCATCACCAGGAATGCATACTGCCAATAGCATGGGCTCTATGCAACATGATCTGCAACTGCTAAGAACTGATCCAATACAGGATCATATAAAGCTCTCTTATTAAGCTTAAGAAAAAAAGCACACTAAAACATGATGCAAATTTCTTTAAAACTGGTGTTATATGCATCTCTGGATATCAGTATGTCTTATTCTTGCCTTTTAGTTGGAAAAAATATCTGGGGGTTGAGCTCTTTACTAGGTAGTAACTAAAAATCATTGCAGATAAGCCAGAATCATGCCAGAATTTAGTTGTATAAAACAACTAAAAAGTTAAATATGGAAAAAATGGCATCTATTAGCAAAGGTGTCCTGCTTTCTATATATTGACTGCACATGATTTTATATTTTATTTATGTTAATTCACTAAAATTAAGTAGTTTGAACTCACCAAGTATTTTCAGAATAAGGATATTCAGAGTTCAGAGTAGCAGCTGTGTTAGTCTGTATCTGCAAAAAGAACAGGAGTACTTGTGGCACTTTAGAGACTAACAATTTGTTAGACTAACATTTGTTAGTCTCTAAGGTGCCACAAGTACTCCTGTTCTTTTTGCGGATATTCAGAGTATGAAATTATCATTATGAAGGGAGTCAAGTGCTGGTTAAAGCAGTTTGGCTAGTGATTTTTAAGTATAATAATGAGCCAATAGAAGGTTTCTCCTTTGATGTGTGTGAATGTATGTGTGTACATAAATCACACACACAGATGCCCCACTATTGTGGAGTCAGGAATGGTTCTGTCTGGGAATCCAGGGTGTACATGGGACGATGGGGACTCTGCCCATTGGAGATGTGCAGTGTTCAATTTGTGTGCTGGAGCCAGAGTATATTTCCTAATTTCAATTTTTTTTGGATAAACCCTTAACAAACAAAAGATGAACTGTGGGACACTACCGAGTGTTAAGTCTGACCAATTACAGGTACCATCAACCTGAATGTGACCAAATCAGGGCCAGATTTTGCAAATGGATTTACACAAGCAGACCTCTCTGCCATGGCAGAGCCCCACGGATTACAACTACATGATTGGGGCCATAATTAGTATAATTAACATGGGTCATTTCTTTTAAATATAAAATAATTTGAATCTAATACATTCTTTTCAAAATTTATTTCTTACCTTCTCTGCACTTCCATTTCATCCGGAGAGGGTCCATTCTGAACCTGGCGCTGGATAGTTGGACCTATGTAAAATACAACAAATTATAATTAGCAAAGCAAATGCGGTGACAACATTGCTACCATTTCTGAAACACGGCGCTGTCCACAGACTCCTTGCGCACACGTACTAAGAGAGATCAGCACAAAGATTCAAGGAGTGGTTTTCTACCCTTTATTCATTTTAACATACACTGAGTCAGGTGCTGAGCTGGTGTAGTAAATCACTTCCGTTCCATTGAGAGAAACTGGCCAAATATCAGCACATTGGAACAGATCTATCAAGTCATTCATAGGAGTTGGAGATAACATCATTTAATTGTGCTAGAGTGAAGATCTGCAGACCTGCAACATTCGAAAGGATGATGTGGTACAACTGTCAACCATTCTACCAGGCTGCATAGTTTTAGTTTCTACAGAGTTTAAACCAGGCCTCGTTGGATCAGGCTGTTTTCAACCTATCCTTTGCTGCATACACTGTGCAAGTTCTATGTGTGGAACTTCCATGGATATCCGGTCTGCAGAATGAGTACAGAAGGGTGATAGATATCAAAGGACAAGAGATCCACAGCATGGAGCGGAGAGAGCTTTTGCCCTAAGAGGGCTGCTCAGCTCCACTTCACTGTTCTCTCATCCACACCATTCATAAATGCAGCCTCAATAGCACGTAGTGATTTATAGAAATCAGAGGACAAATTTAGGAGGTGATGTAAACAGTAGTGTAAATTCCATATTGGTAACTCTGCATAGGTCAGTGTGAGTGAACGTAAGCTGGTGCCTCTGAAGTACGAAGCTGGCAGAAGGGCAGTGTTAAAGCAGGAAAAAGCAACAACCAAGAGGATGTGAGAGTATGTAAGATAAAGCAGGTCTGTTACAGGCTTTGCTTTTCCTTCTCCAGTTCTGACTGTCCACTTTCCCAGAAGCAGTTACGCCAACTTAAATCCTCACTCACATACGCTGATTTACCAACATTTAACTTATGTCCCAATTTAGGTCACATCTCTGCATTTGGTCCTAGCAGTTCAATCTGCTTCTTGGACATCTTTATTAAGTTCACTGGTGTTTACATGTTATTTTCTGAGAGGAATAAAAATAAATAACAAACATAATTATTAAGAATATATGCTCTATTAAATTCTATGGGTGAAATACTGGCCCCATTGAAATCAAGGGGAGTTTTGCCATTGAAGTCAATGGGTGATGCTTACAGAACTCTATTAAATGCTACGGGAAGTCTCCTTAGAGGGAACATTTTGAAATAACTTGGCCATAAAGTGCCTAATGCACAGAATCATTATGGACTATGGGCTTGTACAAGTTCAAATTTAAAGGTTCAGCCTTTTCTGAGTTATCCTCCAAGACAGTCAGAACAAAATGTTTAAAATCAAAACTCAAAAATTGCTGAGATTTCTCTCAAATTTTCATTTTTTTAAAAAATGTCCCATTGGGCAGAGACAAAGCAATGAAAAGGTGAATATTTTAGAAAGTTATAAGTGTATGAAAAGAAGAGGGTATAATGGAAATTGATTAGCAACCTTAACTACAGCAGTCTGTACTACTGACAGCAATAATATACTGTGGATGGCTGGGTGTCCATATCTGCATATTCCGGATATAAACACACACCGAGTTTACATAATGTACATGATGGGGTGATGTAGCATAAGAGTTTTATAGGCCTGAGTTTTTGATGATCACTGACAGGAGGAAAAGCCAGGAGTGAGTTAAACGGGGCATCAAAGGTTTTATTGGCACCCATTCAGCCCACCTCACATAATCATGTACTTTCCTATGACACAGTAGATTCTACTGAAAAATTATTTTCTAAGGGTTTAAAAACTGTTGGTACTATTTTTCTCTGTTTGTAAAGACAGGTTTCCTTAGTGTCATTAACCCAACTGTGCCCAAGGATTCAGAGGGTATGTCTACCTGCGGCTGGCCTGTGCCAACCGACTCGGGCTCGTGGGGCTCAGGCTGCGGAGCGGTTTCACTGCTGTGCAGACTTCTGGGCTCAGGCTGGAGCCTGAGGTCTGGGACCCTCCCACCTCACAGGGTCCTAGAGCCTGGGCTGCAGCCAGAGTCCAGAAGTCTACACAGCAATGAAACAACCCTGCAGCCCGAGTCGGGTGGCATGGGCCAGCTGCTGTTTTAGTTTGCTGTGTAGACATACTCAGAGGGAGACAAAATCAAAAACTCTTAGCTTTTCTGTAACTCATACTGCTGTGATTTTAAGGGTCAATATCTCACAACTTGCTAGAGCTAGAAACTATGGCAAAGATTTTCAGAAGAGTGGGTGCCTTAAATGTTGATGTCACCGAGACACTTTAAAGGGGCCGGATTTTCAGAGAGTGGGTGCTCAGCACTTTGTGATAAACAGGCTGCTTTAAGGTGTCTCCAATTGGGCAGCCAAATCTGAGGCATACACGAACAATAGTCATTTCTGAAAATCTTTTCCCAGAGCTGCATTAGAAAGCCGGCGGAGAAGGGAGGGGAATTCTTTGTTTCAAATAGGATCAAGTTCTCATTCGTTAAATCTGTTACTAATGCAGGACTGAATACTGCCTATCCTGGGCCTTTGGCTAGTGTAATTTTGTGGGAAATGCCACAATTGGTAGGGAACAAAATAAAAACAATGTGGAAAGGATGTTTTTGGTTTTTAAGAGAGCCTTATGGAAAGCTACTAGGATACTTTGGGTGTTAGAAACAGACCTGATGGAGATGGATTAGTGGGCAGAGTGCATGCGAGGTGTCCAAGGTACAAGATAAATGCAAGTTATCACATGGTTCTACAGGTTAACACATTGATCTCAGCATGGTATTAATGCTAGCAATACACCCAAACAGCAAAGTTGGGATCTGGATCTAAACTTTTGCACAATTTGAGTGGGTTTGGATAAAAGATATGGTACCATCCATAAAGTTTTGTTATGGATCCAAATTTCCCTCTAGCTCAGGGATGCTGGTGATTTGGCTCCAGGTTTTGGTTTGGACCCATCTACAATAAATGCATACTCTCTCTCTAGATATATACACATCTATTATATGTTTCATTAAACATTCATTTGGCTGCAGACATTCTAGGGGTTATGGTTAGATTTTCAGAGGCCCTTGTATCCTTCATCAATTAACAGGACTCCACCCTGAAAAGCCCTGGTGAGATCTGCAAAACAGAGTTAAGTTCTCAGATAGAAATCCCTGCACTGTAGGATAATGTAGGAAAATCTTTGGAGAGAAAAAGATCCTCCACTGCTTTACATGTTTTCCAACATAAACTTTTACTCCTTTGGTTCACAGGTTAGTTCTCTTCTGTATAAAAGTTTGTGTTTGACCCAATATCCCCCTCAAGCTGCTTTCAATAAAAGGCAGTGCTTTTGCTGTTATTGAATTTTGTAAAAGAATTACATTTTTGTGGTGGTAGCGTGGAACTGACTTGATTACTGGGATGCATAATATGTCATGGTCAGTGAAGGCCAGCAAGGAAGTGTCAGCATGGAATGACTTAATCCCCTATGCTCCTCTGCATGGGTGGGTAGGTAGTAATAAAACCACATAAAACTCCATGGCAAGGCCATGCACAGAGGAAACGTGATTATGCAAAACTCTGCAGAAATTCCATATATCCCACTAGATGTGTGGCAAGAGAGGGGTATGCTTATGCTTAGCAGTGAAAGATGAAATTGCACTGGGTGGCTTATTTGTCTCCTCTCTCCTGCAAAACAAAAAGACTGCAGAATGATATTAAAATTTGCAGAAAGAGAACGCTGCTCGAACCAGCATTAATGCTTGCTGCATACCTAGTCAGAGGTCTCACCCTAGCCAGGGGCAGCATGGATTCCAGGTCTGCATTACTGCCAAATCTGGAGAGTGGGGTAGGTAGTGGTCTGGACATAGGGTGACCAGACAGCAATTGTGAAAAAATGGGATGGGGGTGGGGGGTAATAGGCGCCTATATAAGAAAAAGTCCCCAAAAACGGGACTGTCCCTTTAAAAACGGGATATCTGGTCACCCTATCTGGACATGAGAGTTGGGGGAAAGTCCCTCAGAGGGGCTATCTTGGGATAACTGGGAATATTGAGCCTCTGAGGCTGCTGCTGCCACGGCATCCCCACCTACTGGTGTAGACCATGAAGGGGGAACATACCAACTCAGTTTGTTCCCCTCCACTTCCCCCACTGCCTCCCTTAAGAGGATTATATACAAGCATCACCAAATAATTCCTTAGACATTACATCTGTGATCTCCTTATATAGGCAGAAATGACTGTTTTCTAGGGTAATGAGAAACCTTCATTGCAAAACTGACAAAAATTCATCCAATTTTGTTCAAAACCCAACATTTAGGCCAGGTTTTCTAATAAATTTACAAACCTGGGCTGAGCTTCTGGTAAACCTGGCGGGATTATCATGGGAAACTGTGGTTCTGGTTGAGTTTTGCTTCAAGTTTGAGTTCCTTGCAAACCCCTACAAACCAAAGTCTGATTAAAAGTTTGCAAGGGTCTTACAATCCACAATGGTGGAGTCTCACACTGCTCTAGTGCTCTCCTCATCCCTGGGCTTGTTTTTGTTTTCTAATGTGCTCTGCCAAAGCTCACACAAAGAATGCAGGAATTATTTTAACAACAGCCTGATTTCATATATGCATGTGCTGCAGGAGACAGATCACAGACAATAACTTAAATTGAAATATCTGCATTTAACTGCTCACATTTTCATGTGCTTTTTAAATATGAGCAGAAATGAGCAATGAATGCAGCTGGTGACGACATCCCCATATAAACATCCCTCTCAAGTTGCAATGTGATTTACCTCCTACCCTGACAGCTTTTGGGAACACCCGCATCGGAGTGACTGAATACAATGATCATAGAATATCAGGGTTGGAAGGGACCTCAGGAGGTCATCTAGTCCAACCCCCTGCTCAAAGCAGGA